GATCATCTCTGTAGCCGACAAAGTAACCATTACAACAGCGTGTGGAATCCTGGTGCCATGTTTCATAAGCACAGTAACTCTTTAACCAGTCTGAGCCTCGGTTACCCCAACTGTTAGGAAAAGGGCTACTCTAAATACATCTGTCCTGTTTCTTCCATCTCCCATATTCCAGCTTTATGCATCCCCTCCATCCCCCGATTTCAATACAGACTGTCTATATATTTGCCTTTCTACTTCTCCAAAAATACTTTATGTGTTGCCTTGAAATTGGATTTGGGTAGTGCCTGTCCTCTAAGTAAACAATACTACAGAAACGATAAACTCTATAATCCAGTGCAGGGGATGTAACACTGATGATGTGATATTCCATAATGCAGAGAACACTCCCTGCTTGGGACCTGAGCTAACCATTCCACCAGGGAAAGGTGGTGCTGCGCCACACAGACCCTGCCCCTGGCCAGTCAGACAGCGTCTCTATCTGCTACATAGTAACTGTCTACCATGAAGCCAGCCTCTTTTTATTCCCTCTGAGCTTGGTTTAATATCCACTTTCAAGGAGGAGATTCATTTTGGAACTATTTTCAGAGCAAGAAAAAAAGACATCCTTAAGGATATATTAGCTACATTACTTAAATCCAATGAAGTACATAAATCTCTCACCCTGCAATAAACGCAACACGTAGGAGGGCAAGCAGTCTCCCAGATGGGCCTCCCTGGATGAAAAATAGCCTGGAAATATACAAACGACCAGGGTATATGACAGAATTTGGAATAATGCAGGCCTGTCTGGGACCCTATCTACAATGATTTAGCTACGGAAAGTACCAAAGGATTTTTTAATATGTGTTTTCAGAAAACTTTAACATCCAGCAAGCCCAGATCACAGCTGAGCTGCTGAGCTCCAGACCTCCACGGTCAACGGGTCAACTCCACCCAGCCATTCCCAAGACCAGCATGTCTGAATCAGAACTCATCACCTGCCCTCCGGCTCCTGGATTTCTGATCTCAGCTAATGGGGTCGTTACCCACCCAGGTATCCAATCAGAAACCTGATAGTTATCCTAGAATCCACTCTCCCCTCAATCCTCCCCCCATTCTTCCTGAATCCCTAAGTCCTGGAGATTCCATTTTGCCCCTTGCATCCCAACACACACCTCCTGTTTCAATGCATTGCTTCCCCGACGCCCCCAACGGCTGCCTGACTGCTCCCCCTAGAGTGAGTCTTGCCCGCCCCCCAATCTATCCTTCCAAGTTCAGCAACAATAATCTCTATGAAACAATCCTTCAAGGCTCCCCTCTGTCTAGCGGATAAACTGGGGTATACAGCCCCCCCCCCCGATCCAGCCTCCCCAACCTCGGGTCTCCCACACCTCGCCTTGAACCCTCCACCTGGTCCAGTGAGCTATGTGGAGTTCCCAGCACACCAGCCTGCCTCCCCATCTCCTTTCCTCTCTTTGCACTGCTCCTTCCTGGTTGGAATATCCCTCTGCCTTTCTGCCCTCAGCAAAATATATTCATTGTCCGGACCCACCTCCTCCAAGAAGCCTACCCTCACACCCCACCCCAAAGGGAAAACAGGGCAGCCCTACTCTTGAGCCCCTGGTCAGACCTCTCACACAGTATCTGCGACGTTACTGCACTTATTTAGCTCCTGGAGGGCAAGGATTGTATCTTGTCTTTTCAACCTCGGTTCCAACTGGTGCGTAGGAATTTACTAAACATCAGCGAAATGAATGAATGCTTCAATGGTGGCTTCTAACAGCAGTTTCAAAACTATCTTCTTTACAACTCACATACTTTGCTTCCGGCTGCTTATAACTTGGAACGGCTTCTTACTCCACTTATAAATCCTTTGCAGGGGACCGAAACAATAAATCAGTACAGGAGATACAGCACCTTTTATCCCCTGAAAAATCATTTCTTTGTTTTCCATTCCTGAAAAAAGGGTCACACTTCAAGGCACCCCAACAGCAGAGAGTGAGAACTATCAAAATAAGTGATTGCCAATCCCTGGTCCTCCCTTGCTTTTATTTTTTCTTAATTTTTATTTTTTATTGAAGTATAGTTGATATATTTATTTTTTAATTGTTTTTAATTGGCCACACCGCACAGCATGCGAGATCTTAGCTCCCCCACCAGGGACTGAACCCACGTCTCACGCATTGGGAGCGTGGAGTCTTAACCACTGGACCGCCAGGGAAGTCCCCTCCCTTGCTTTTAAATGCCCTCTTGCTGGAAGTGTGTATTATTTGAATGAGGCACAGGGTGGAGACACTACTTAAAGCAGAGGGAACAAGGCATGAACGAAGACTGGCTTATGAAGTCTACACTGCTGCCCTTGCCCATGTAGGTGCAAGACAACACTGAGAATAAAACTGACTTCCCCGGCTTTGTGGCTTCTAAGCCCATAAGGGAGACACATGAAAATAAAGGCACCATCCTTGACTCAGCATCCAGCAGCCCCTGTGCCCCAAGGTAGGCCCTCTGGGGAAGCTCTGAGCCCACCCAGAATCCCATCTCAAATGCCAAATATCTGCAATGTGGCTACAACTTCATACACAGCCAATATCCTCTTCTCTGAGTGCCGATTTCATATTGGAAAATGAACAATTTAAATAAATGTTTCATTAACATACTGTTTTCCGGCCGGATGCTAATGTACTTAGAGTAATTTGTTTTCCCAAATTCTCCGCCACAGAATCATTTCATGCAGTCCTCACAGGACAACCTGAAACTCTTCAGGTCCCTAAGAGACAACCTAGAAACCAACCAAACAAATAACAGAAAACCCTTGGACTTAAAAGCCATCGAGACCCACTTGTTCTAGAACACACATCACACACGCTGCGGAACAGGAAGATCCGGACCACCTCAGTGGCGCTGGGTTTGTATTGACGGCAACAAAGCACTGTTCCGAGGGCACTGTTGGTCCCCAAGACACAGAAGTGGGAGACGTGGCTTACTCAGGAAGAATGCAGAGAGTGTGACATCTTGTTCTGAGGCCCTGTAAGGCTTGTTCCCATTTTTCTTTGCTTATCTGATTCTTACTTTGTGCTGATTCCAAACCCCCCAAATCTCAAGGATACTTCTAACATCTTTCACTAATAGGAGAGCTTAAAATCTTCACAGCACAATGCTCAGATACACCCCAAGCACGCAAAAGCAGGTCCCATATAAAGGTCTGTTCCCCCAAACCTTGTCAGACACGGGGGAATGGCTCGATCGTGAGGACATGGGAAGCAGCCTGGACACCACGCTAACGGGAGGCCATCTTTTGGGTGGATCCAGCCACATCAGAATGGTTCTCTGTGGCACCAGTGGGCTGGAGGCATGATTTTGATTTGATTCTGCGAAACTGTGATTTATGAGAAATATATATTTGGTCACTGAGATGACCAAAAAATATTTCTCATATATATATTTGGTCTTGGCCACAGTTCCTGACTCACGGCTTCCAAAAACCTTTGGAGTTTCCTAAGTGTTGAGAGAGACAGAAGTTTCTTTGTTATGTGAATGAGGTGACTTTCAGAAGCACCTAAGGATGGGGGCTGGTTGCCAGGAGAACCAACCACGTGACTAGAGGGTTGGGACTTTCAGTTCCATCCCCCTGATTTCTGGGGAGGGGAGAGGGGCTGGAGGTTGAACCAATCACCAATGACCAATGATCTTTATCAATCACGACTATATAACAAAGCCTCCATAAAAAGCCCAAAGGACAAGTTTTTGTCCCTTTTTGCAGAGCTTCCACATTGGAGAACCAGAACGCTTCTGCATGCCACCGTGCTGCCCCACGGTCCCAGAGGACAGAAGCTCCCTTGTTCGGGACCCTGCCCTGTGTATCTCTTCCATCTAGCTGTTGGTTCGCATCCTTTAATATCCTTTCAGAATAATTCGGTAATCTAGTGAGTAAACGGGTTTTCCTGAGTTCTGTGAGCCATTCTAGCAAATTGCTCGAACCCCAGGAGAGGGCCCTGGGAACCTCTGACTTATAACCAGTTGGTCAGAAGTACAGGTAACAACCCAAGCTTGAGACTGGAGCCTGAAGTGGGGAGCGGTCTCATGGGACTGAGCCCTTCACCTGTGCGATCTGATTCTGTCTCCGGGTAGACAGTGTCAGGACTGAGGTGAGCTCTCGCACACCCTGCTGGCAACAAAGAACTGTTTGTTGGTGTGGGAAAACCCTGAGCCACACACCTTGGAATTGGGTCCAGGAACCCCATCCAGGTTCTATTACACGGGGAGCAAAATCAAACTCAGTGAAGAGGTGAAGCAGGTAACCAGTGAGCTCTGGCACTCTCTGGGTGCCAGGTGCCAGGTGTGTGGCAGAGAGCAGGAGACCCACCAAAGACTGGAAATCACATTGGTGGGGCGGGGGAGGGGGGGTTACCTCCCTGGCTGTGCCACATCTGAGCTGCAAGGCGATGGACAAGTGACTTCCATTTCTGAGCTTCACCTCCTTCTTATAAAATAAAGCAACAACAACAAGAAAACAATAATAGTAATGGGGGCCAGTGGCAGTGGCAGCTACCCTTTCATTGAGCACTTACTATGCAGCAGGTGCTGAACAAACACTTGCTAAGTGCCATCTCACTTAATCCTGAGGACACCTGGGAGGATGCTGTTAACTCCAGTTTACGGAGGAGGCTCAGAGCTCAGGAACCAGCCCAAGGTCACCCAGCTGCAGGGAGTGGTGGGGTCTCGGTTCAAAACCGAGTCCAACTGACTGCCATGTTCTTTGGAAAGAATAACAACCTAAATGACTGGCACAGACATTAGGAAATGCTATATAATGTGGAAAGTGCTCTGGACGCCCTGCACGGAAGGCAGTCAGAGTTAACAAGCCCACCCCTCACTGCGGGCCAGCATCCTGGTCACCCTCTCCGACCACTGGGCAGCCAGCTCCCAGCAGCCTCCTGCCTCCTGTGGGCCAGAGGCCCGATCATCCCGGAGCATCATTCACTGGGTGGTGGGGGAAGGAGGCCGTCCCTCCTCGTACTTACTTTCTCAGGACCGCAATCTCATTCTCTATGCTGCTTTCTTTGCCCTTCAGTGCCTTTTTGGGGATACATTTCACCGCAAAGAGTTTTCCAGTTGCCTTCTCTTCAGCTAAGACCACTTCGGAAAATGCCCCGCTGTGAACAAAGAGGGAGAAAAAGAAGCGGCTTAGATTCAGGAGATCTGGGCATTCCCGACAGCTCCTCTGATCCCACTACCAAAATCTGAGTAACAACAAGAAGAACAATTCCCGGCATCACTGTGACTTTTTAACCAGCCACACTCCCAACCAAACTTCTTTGTGCATAGGGTAGACAAAGGCAAGTGTGACCTCTTGCAAAGGGACACAGGAATGCCCACGTGGGTGTGGGCACCTGCCATCCTGCACAACAACCAAGCAGCAGTCACTTGGGAGCAACAGAAAAGCTCCAGAAAGGTTCCTGCGGGAAAGATCAGGTCCATCTGAAGCTGTCAGCACCCACACCCCCAAGGAGACGAGAGGATAACACCGAAATGTCTAGATTCCTCCCAGGCCCTTTCATTCCCAAGAAAATTTCAGAGCACTTGCCAAAGCCGTAATTAATTCTCACAGATAGGTACGGGTGTAATTAACGTGTGTGACGCACGGTACCGACACAGGTTAATTAAATTTCAAGGCCATGCAGGGCTGCAGAGGGCAGCTTGTTTCTTTTTTCAACCAAACAAATAAAAAGAAACATGATGCCCTGAGTGGGGAGAACTTCCTGCCGGAAAACAGAAATCTAACTCTGTGAGGCCACATCACCAAACTGAAAATGTAACCAGGACATTCGGGGCCAGAGATTACATTTCTTCAGAGAGGTGGTCTGCGAGTCCCAGACGCTGCATTGTCCCCCCACCTGACACCTTGTCTATTTCCAGCACACAATGCCTGGATGCTGCTCTTGTACTGGGGCACAACTTCCCTAACAACTCAAACAAAAACAGACACCTCCACTGCCCGCTGCAGACCTCTGTAACCTGGGCTTTGTGCTCGCAGGCCGCGGAAAACCACCGAGTCATTCTCTATCCCTACACTTTCAGGAGCGACTCATTTCCTCTGAGACACACCAAACATGGCTTCTAAACAGTTACGACTAGAGACAAACTCTCCTACATCAAAAGAAACCACTAGAAGGACCAATGTCATCTCAATATTGGTCCCTCAGGGCCTTTGTTCTTCAGCCAACATCAAAGAGATGCCTAAGCAATGGAGGAAGGGATAAAGAAGATGTGGTACGTATATACAATGGAATATTACTCAGCCATAAAAAAGAACAAAATATTGTCAATTGCAGAAACATGGGTAGACTTAGAGACTACCATACTGAGTGAAGGAAGTCAGACAGAGAAAGACAAATATCATATGATATCGCTTGCATGTGGCATCTTAAAAAAATGGTACAAATGAACGTATTTACAAAACAGAGAGTCACAGATGTAGAAAACAAACTTATGGTTACCAAGGGGGAAAAGTGGGGGTGGGATAAATTGGGAGCTTGGGATTGACATACACACAGTACTCTATATAAAACAAATAATAAGAACTACGGTTGGAGGCTTCCCTGGGGGCGCAGTGGTTAAGAGTCGGCCTGCTAATGCAGGGGACACGGGTTCGAGCCCTGGTCTGGGAAGATCCCACATGCCGCGAAGCGGCTAGGCCCGTGAGCCACAACTACTGAGCCTGAGCATCTGGACCCTGTGCTCCGCAACAAGAGAGGCCGAGATAGTGAGAGGCCCGCACACCGTGATGAAGAGCGGCCCACCCTTGCCACAACTAGAGAAAGCCCTCACACAGACATGAAGACCCAACACAGCCAAAAATAAGTAAATAAATTTAAAAAAAAAAAAAGAACTACGGTTGGCACAGGGAACTCTACTCAATACTCTGTAATGACCTATATGGGAACAGAATCTAAAAAAGAGTGGGGAGATTGGTTCAAGATGGCAGAGTAGAAGGACGTGCTCTCACTCCCTCTTGCAAGAACACCCGAACTAACTGGTGAACAATCATCAACAGGAAGACACTGGAACTCACCAAAAAAAGATACCCCACATCCAAAGACAAAGGAGAAGCCACTATGAGATGGTAGGAGGGGCACAATCACAATAAAATCAAATCCCATAACTGCTGGGTGGGTGACTCACAGACTGGAGAACACTTGTACCACAGAAGTCCACCCACTGGAGTGAAGGTTCTCAGCCCCATGTCAGGCTTCCCAACCTGAGGGTCCGGCCACGGGAAGAGGAATTCCCAGAGAATCAGACTTTGAAAGTTAGCAGGATTTGATTGCAGGACTTCGACAGGACTGAGGGAAACAGAGACTCCACTCTTGGAGGGCACACACAAAGTAGTGTGCGCATCAGGACCCAGGGGAAGGAGCAGTAACCCCATAGGAGACTGAACCAGACCTACCTGCTAGTGTTGGAGGGTCTCCTGCAGAGGTGGGGGGGGTGGCTGTGGCTCACCATGAGGACAAGGACACTGGCAGCAGAAGTTCTGGGAAGTACTCCTTGGCATGAGCCCTCCCAGAGTCTGCCATTAGCCCCCAAAAGAGCCCAGGTAGGCTCCAGTGTTGGGTTGCCTCAGGCCAAACAACCAACAGGGAGGGAACCCAGCCCCACCCATCAGCAAACAAGTGGATTAAAGTTTTACTGAGCTCTGCCCACCAGAGCAACACCCAGCTCTACCCACCACCAGTCCCTCCCATGAGGAAACTTGCAAAAGCCTCTTAGATAGCCTCATCCACCAGAGGAGAGACAGCAGAAGCAAGAAATACAATCCTGCAGCCTGTGGAACAAAAACCATATTCACAGAGAGACAGATAAGATGAAAAGGCAGAGGGCTATGTACCAGATGAAGTAACAAGATAAAACCCCAGAAAAACAACTAAATGAAGTAGAGATAGGGAACCTTCCAGAAAAAGAATTCAGAATAATGATAGTGAAGACGATCCAGGACCTCAGAAAAACAATGGAGGCAAAGATCGAGAAGATGCAAGAAATGTTTAACAAAGACCTAGAAGAATTAAAGAACAAACAAACAGAGATGAACAACACAATAACTGAAATGAAAAATATACCAGAAGGAATCAATAGCAGAATAACTGAGGCAGAAGAACGGATAAGTGACCTGGAAGACAGAATGGTGGAATTCACTGCCACGGAACAGAATAAAGAATGAAAAGAAATGAAGACAGCCTAAGAGACCTCTGGGACAACATCAAATGCAACAATATCTGCATTATAGGGGTTCCAGAAGGAGAAGAGAGAAAGGACCAGGGAAAATATTTGAAGAGATTATAGTCGAAAACTTCCCTAACATGGGAAAGGAAATAGCCACCCAAGTCCAGGAAGTGCAGAGAGTCCCATACAGGATAAACCCAAGGAGAAACACACAGAGACACATAGTAATCAAATTGGCAAAAATTAAAGACAGAGAAAAATTATTGAAAGGAGCAAGGGAAAAATGACAAATGACATACAAGGGAACTCCCATAAGGTTAACAGCTGATTTCTCAGCAGAAACTCTACAAGCCAGAAGGGAGTGGCATGATATACTTAAAGTGATGAAAGGGAAGAACCTACAACCAAGATTACTCTACTCAGCAAGGATCTCATTCAGATTTGATGGAGAAATTAAAACCTTTACAGACAAGCAAAAGCTAAGAGAATTCAGCACCACCAAACCAGCTCTACAACAAATGCTAAAGGAACTTCTCTAAGTGGGAAACACAAGAGAAGAAAAGGACCTACAAAAACAAACCCAAAACTATTAGGAAAATGGTCATAGGAACATACATATCTATAATTACCTTAAACGTGAATGGATTAAATGCTCCAACTAAAAGACACAGGCTTGCTGAATGGATACAAAAACAAGACCCATATATATGCTGTCTACAAGAGACCCACTTCAGACCTAGGGACACATTCAGACTGAAAATGAGGGAATGGAAAAAGACAGTCCATGCAAATGGAAATCTAAAGAAAGCTGGAGTAGCAATACTCATATCAGATAAAATAGACTTTAAAATAAAGAACGTTACAAGAGACAAAGAAGGACACTATATAATGATCAAGGGATCAATCCAAGAAGAAGATATAACAATTATAAATATACATGCACACAACATAGGAGCACCTCAATACATAAGGCAACTGCTATCAGCTATAAAAGAGGAAATCGACAGTAACACAATAATAGTGGGGGACTTCAACACCTCACTTACACCAATGAACAGATCATCCAAACAGAAAAGTAATAAGGAAACACAAGCTTTAAATAACACAGCAGACCAGATAGATTTAATTGATATTTATAGGACATTCCATCCCAAAACAGCAAATTACAGTTTCTTCTCAAGTGCACACGGAACATTGTGCAGGATAGATCACATCTTGGGTCACAATTCAAGCCTCAGTAAATTTAAGAAAATTGAAGTCATATCACGCATCTTTTCTGACCACAATGCTATGAGATTAGAAATGAATTACAGTGGAAAAAAAACGAAAAAAACACAAACACATGGAGGCTAAACAATACGTTACTAAATGACCAAGAGATCAGTGAAGAAATCAAAAAATACCTAGAGACAAATGATAATGAAAACACAATGATCCAAAACCTATGGGATGCAGCAAAAGCAGTTCTAAGAGGGAAAGTTATAGCTATACAAACCTACCTCAAGAAACAAGAAAAATCTCAAATAAACAATCTGACCTTACACCAGAAGGAACTAGAAAAAGAAGAACAAACAAAACCCAAAGTTAGCAGAAGGAAAGAAATCATAAAGATCAGAGCAGAAATAAATGAAATAGAAACAAAGAAAACAATAGCAAAGATCAATAAAACTAAAAGCTGGTTCTTTGAGAAGATAAACAAAACTGATAAACCATTAGCCAGACTCATCAAGAAAAAGAGGGAGAGGACTCAAATCAATAAAATTAGAAATGAAAAAGGAGAAGTTACAACAGACACTGCAGAAATACAAAGCATCCTAAGAGACTACTACAAGCAACTCTATGCCAATAAAATGGACAACCTGGAAGAAATGGAAAAGTTCTTAGAAAGGTATAACCTGCCAAGACTGAACCAGGAAGAAACAGAAAATATGAA